ACATGGTGACTGGACCAGACTGCGGCCATCCTTGTCAGTTATTCATGGCTGAAAAGATGGTGTGGGGTCCCTACAACTGTGAAGCAGCCTTTGCACAGACGTTGCCACGTCCACGGCTGTATCGGAGACAGCACTGTGTCACAGCATCCAGAGTCTCGGCCTTCTCCACGTGGGCCTCTGACGTTGAAGGCATTGTCCACCATGAAACCCTAAGGCCGCTTCTAGCTCGGAGCTGGGCCAAGGCCCAGGGAGGACCCTGTCTGAGACCTTACTCCCTCACTTTGGCTCTTCAGCTGAAGTGAATTCAGACTCGGTCCTCAAGCGTCCGCAGGGGAAGTGTGGGCTGAAGAGAGGATTTGAAACAGTCTTTCTCGTCTCTGTAAAAACCAGATTACTCTCTCAGGGTGGTGAGGCACGGAAGACGGGCCCTTAGAGCACAGATGGGACTGCTTATTAGGACAGGACGTTGTCCAGGGGATGGGCCCTGATGGGTCCTGTGCACGTGGCAGGGCTGCTCCCACTGCCAGGCTCTGGTGTGAGCACCCTCAGCTTCAAGGAGTCTGGTATTTCAATCCCTTTTTGCCTGGCGGTGTGTTACCTGTTAGAGGTCAATAGACAGCCTTTCCCTATCAAGGTTTACAGCCTGGGACACCCGGTGGAGGGGTGCTGCAAGTCGATGGAACATTTGAAGTAACAAGTCAGCAAAGACATCCTCGAGTAGGAAGGAAACATTTTAAGTAACTCAGCGTGTTTGCATCACTTTGAGCAGAATCTTGGCATTACTGGGAATGGCTGTTCCATCTGGATTCCCCCTCAACAAACCCCACGCAGTTTGTTGGCAAAGTTTAACGATACAGCCAAGAAAGGAATTCACTTGTGGAGATGCGATATATACGGACGCACCTGTCAAATGATTTCTCCCTCTGGGATTAAACTGGTGCCAGGTTTACGTCCTCTCTGCAGGCACTGAAGCGACCCCAGCCCGTTCGAGGCTGGCCCACCCTGAGTGCACAGGAGCCGGGCTCGGGTCCTCTAAAGACAATTCCTTGGGAAAAGACATCATGCTTAGAACAATGGGGGTGGGGAGTCGGCAAAGGGAAGATGATCCCCAATGAGATGTGTTGGCATCATGACTTCAGCAATGTGTGTGAGTGTGTCATTGAGGATGAGGATGGTACAGGTTGGCTGGTCACAGGATCACTAGAAGTTGTACTTGACTTGATGGCACCTACAATATCAAATGCAAGCCGCCCATCAGTCACATCAGGTGCTGTGGTCACCTGCCCTCGTCCTGGGACCACAGGGGGTTGGTCACAGCCTGCAGGATGCCTTGGGGCCGTGGCCTGGGGGGGGGGGGGCCTGGGCCTGTCACTGCAGGGGATGGAGAGCAAGTGCTCCAGGCTGTGGAAGCCGGAAACCTCCGGCAGCACACCCCTCCCTGCCTGTGGCTGCCCTCAACGAGCCAGCGCCCCTCCTGGGATTCACGTTGTTCTGCTGGAGCAACATGGTGGCTGCTGGTGCCAGCGCAGCCTGGAGGCCGAGGCCTCTGCTCCCCACTGCTGGCCCCAGGCAGGTCGTGGACCCTCAGGTGGCGCCCCAGGTGGCGAGCTGTCTGCTCTGTTCTCTCTGTGCCGTGGTGCCTGCAGCTGCTGTCGGCCTGAGATGACTCCTGGCGCCCTACGAGCCACAGGGCTGACCCTTGCCCTTCCTGTTGCCCTCCTCCTGGTCTCACCTGCTCGAGTCCATTGTCCTCGTCACCGTGCCTGCCCGCTTCTGGGGGTCTTCCTCTCTTGACCCTCCTGAGAACATGCTCAGAGTGTGTGAGATCAGATCTCACCACCCTTGCTTTGCTCTGGATGAACTTCCTCTGAGAGAAAAGGCTGTGGATATTCCCACAGAGGGGCTGTCACAGCCTCAGTTTAAACTTGCATGATTTCTGATGCTGGAGGCGAGGAGCTGCCCCAGGTGACTGGCGGCGAGGTGATGCTGGAGACAGTGGAGGCAGAGACCACAGGCCAAGTGTCAGCGGGGTCTTTCCTCGTCACTGAGCTGAAGGCCTGCGTCCCCTGCCCTCTACAGACCACTGTCCTATTGAGAGCAGTCCTCGCTCTTCTTTTAAACATGTTTCCACTGGAATAAAGAGTGTGTCACATGGAAAGATGTCTTAGACATCTATGTGAATGGTAAACACAGGTAAACAATGAAAAATCAGCAAGCAATTCAGTCCGCTTACCTCAGAGAGAGAGGAAAAACATCAGTTATAAACATCAGAGCCTTTAATTCTGATTGCTCACAGCAATCTTGCCTTCTCATAGGTCAATTTACAATTATTACAAAGATTCTCACCACTGGACCAATTGGCAGCATCAGGATGGATGGTGAAGAGATTGAGATTGTACACAGCTTTAGTTTGCTTGGCTCCATGGTCAACACACTTGGCACCAGTAGCCAGGAAATTAAAAGACGTATTGCCATGGGAAAGTCTGCTATGAGGGACCTCTCCAAAGTACTGAAGAGCAGTGGTGTCTCTCTGGAGACTAAGGTGCATCTGATACAGGCCATGGTCTTTGCTATCACTTGTTATGCTCAGAGAGTTGGACAGTGACTAAGGAGGATAGAAGGAGAACTGATGCCTTTGAGCTGTGGTGCTGGAGAAGAGTATTGAGGGTACCATGGACTGCTAGGAAAACAAACAGATTCATCCTGGAAAGGGCTAAACCGGGTGGCTCCTTGGAGGCAAGGATTCTGAGGCTCCGTCTGACATACTTTGGACATGTTGTAAGGAGGGACCGGTCCTTGGAGAAGGACATCATGCTTGGGAGGGTGGAGGGACAGCGCAGGAGGGGAAGGCCCCCTATGAGGTGGATTGATTCAGCGACAGGGGTAATCGGGATGGGTGTGTTGGAGACAGTGCGATTGGCACAGGACAGAGCAGAGTTTAGGGCTGTTGTACATAGGGTCGCTATGAGTCACAAGCGACTCGACGGCACATAACAACAAGAATAAATAGCCAGCATTATAAGATTTTATCCACTTTAAACAAGATTACCCTACCAACTATTCTGTGGCTTCAGCAGTTCTCATAGCAAACTACCAAATGGGCCTCCAGGAGCCAACCCTGACCTCTGTCCAGAAAGGAAGAAGGGACAGGGGAGAGGCTAAGGTCACAGTGAAGAGATACTCATGGACACACATGGGCTTCCAGAAGCCGACCCTGACCTCTGTGTACAGAGAGGATCGAGGGGCAGGGGAGGACCAAGGCCACGGTGAAGAGATGCTCACACACAAGAACAGACACACATACCCATACACACATGCACACACACAGAAACACACAGGTGTGCAGATATACTCACACAGCACACACATATTTGCAGATACATCCACACCCATGCAGACATACACACACAGGCAAAGAAACACAGGTGTGCAGATGTACACATGCGCACACACGTGAGACACACATGCAGAGAAACACAGGTGTGCAGACGTACACACGCACACACACGAGACACACATGCAGAGAGAGAGACAGACGTGCAGACGTACACACATGCACACACACAAACACCCACGCAGAACCAAAGGTCTCTCAAGCACTCACCCCAGTTCCTACCCCAGGATGACATTAAATAATGATTTCAATAATCTCTGAAAAATTAATGAATTTACGGCTGTTTCCAATAAATTCCAAATATGTCTTGGAGTGAAAATACTTTTACTTGAAACTGGTAAATTTAATAATTACTCTTCCAGTAGCATCCACCTTCAAAAAAGAACAAGTGAAATCAATGTTTTATTTAGCAAAATATAGGCAAAATACTATGTCAGTATGTAATCAATATACAAAAATATTAGTGAGATACTTGATACTTTTTCATACCAAGTCTTCAAAATCTGGCATTTCTTAATTCAGTGCTTTATTTCATTATAAATGCCTTGCTGTCTTTACTTTAGAGCTCAGTTTAAAAAGTAGACTTACATCCCCATGTTGTTTCCAGCATGCTTGAGTTTCCTAGTTACTGAGTTGATGTCAGTATTTAAACTGATTGAAAAGTTCCATTTCTGATCCCAAGCCGCCTTTCAATGTGCCAAGAGCCGAGGCCATCACAGCTCCTCCCTGGACGTGGCTGATCTTACGTAGTCAGGACTGACTGGGATTCAGAGTGGAGGGCCTTTAAGCTCTCAAAGCTGAAGAACTTTCTTATGGCTTCGACTGCCCACTCGTCTCATCCACATTTTACTAGAGGATGTAGGTTGTGCTTGATTAGGTCTCCACATGCTGTGCTGCTGAGCTTTTTGCACGGAAGGGGGCTTATAACATGAACCTCAACCATCCCAATAGCCGTGCTTCTCTGTATACAAACATCCGATTGAATATTCCACGTTCTCCAGCTGGCTAACAGGTGTTAAATCAACCTCTCAATCCAGTATTAAGGTACATTGCAAAGAGGACTGGCAGGAAGTAATTGAATGAATATTTTTAAAAAAAGTGAATGTGGGGAGGGGGGAAGAAAATCGTTAAAATCTCAATGAAAATAAAAATTAAAAAGAAGAGTCCCCACTACACTTTTATAAGTGATTAAGTATTGCCTGTGTATTTACTTACATGTACTAACTTTCCTGTAAACTTTCATTAAAATCGCAATTAAAAAGAAAAATTTTATTAAAAAAGAGGGCTCAGCCCTCTTTTCCAGCAGTGACTAAATATCGCCTGCGTGCTTACTTCCAAGGACCGACTCCCGAGCACCAGAGTGAAGGGACCTTATGGCTACGCTTTAACACCACCGTTCATTTCATGATCTCCTTCCAAAGTGTTTCAACTAAGTGGTTATCTATTTAAGTGCCAGTTTGAGTGACAACAGCTGTAGAATTCCTTTTCTGAACCTGTAAACCCTACTGAACAAAACAGATGCTGGATCAGTAACAAGTGTGTCATTAACCCTGCCCCCCGGCTGTGGCTGGTGCTGCCCAGGGAGCCCAGCTCAGACCCGGGTCCACTACATCCTGGCCTGCAGCCTCCTGGCTTGGTCCTGTAGCTCCATTCTCGCCACTGCTGTGAGGTGGACCTCATCGGGCCCGTCTGCTATGCGCAACGTGCGGATCAGCGCGTACCTGGAAGAGCAAGAGTGGCAGAGGTCAGCCAAGCAGACAAGACACTGGGGCCCACTGCCACTTCACTCTGGGAGAAGACTGCATGGAAATGCGAGGGGTCACCTGAGGGACGCAGCACAGGGCCAGCCGCCCTATGACCCTATGCCAAGACTGCATCACTCAGTGAGGGGTCATCTGAGGGGACGCTACACAGGGCCAGCTGTCATAACAGTCTAAGCTGAGACTGCAACCATCTCAGAAGGGCCGGGAGAACGCAGGTAATACGTGAAGTACAGGCAAACCAGCAAGGGCCGGCCTCCGCGTCCTTGAAAAGCCAAGTCAAAGCTCCTGGCTTGGGAGAGGCACCTCAAATGGCCCAGGTTGGGGCCACACTGAGTCTTGGTCTCCTGTGAATGACCGGAAGTTGCCCAAGCAGAGCAGTCACTCGAGTGGGTCTGAGAGAATGGACAATGGGGTGCCACCAAGTCTATTCTCATGGTAAATGTTGACGAGGAAAGAATTAGAGAAATGCCAGGCCGCAGACTCTTCGCACTGTGACAGAGAAGGTGGCCCTGGGAACGCGTGTGTGGACAGATGGACAGGTCTGGACAGGTCTCTCCCTGTGGTCATAATGCACCGCCGATCCTGGAGCCATGGACTTCTGCCAGGCCAGGGGACACCTTCCCTCTGTGGGTGCATGTATGTGGTAATAGACAGACTTGGGGTGCTCCCTGACTCCTTGTGGTCACAATGCACCACTGATCCCGGGGGGTGTGGACTCCTGCCAGGCCAGGGGACGCTTCCCTCTGTGGACAACAGCAGTGCCAAGTGCAGACAGAGCTCAGGCACCTAGGCCCCACCCTTCTTTCTAACTCAGGGTTCCTGGACTGTCCTTGTCCCCTACCCTCCCCTAAGTTGGGACTCCCAGGCTGTCCCTGTCCCCTGCTCTTTCCTCTAACTCAGGGCTCCTGGGCTGTTCCCTGCTCCTCTGTTTCAGATGAACTCCCCAATGGATGCCTGAGTCTCTGGACCCTCAGGGACCTCTCAGCATAAGAACTGTCCTAACAGAGGGGAGAGAAGTGGTCATTCAACAACCACACTTACTGGCAAAGCTCACAGGGGCCTTGTCACTTCATCCAGCTTCAGCCACACACTAAGCTTCACACACAAACCCCAGAACCCACACTGGGAACCACCAAGCCAATTCCAAATACCAGTGGCCTCACGGGGGTCTCCCAGGCAGAAATCTTGATGGAAGTGGACTGCCACATCTGCAGGCTAGCCGCCGGGTTTAGCAGCTCAGTTGACCACCAGTGCTCCTCTATAGTAAGTTCGGGTCTATTTCTTTCTAAACAGTGTCAAAGTATCTATGGATACCTGAAGCCCAAGCTGATCAGCTGTTTTTGTGTGCCGTCAAACTGGCCGCTAGCTGACCATCAGGTTTTCAGAAGCAGCAAATCACACAGGAGGAGACGGCCCAGCTCTCTCCCACTGACCAGCTGGCAGATTAGAATCCCCCTTCCTCACCCCCACGGCCAGCAGAGACCCTGAAAAAGCTCCACTCACATGTTAGCCAGGGGGTAGTCCTGTGAGACGCCTGCACCCCCGCACACCTGGATGGCCCGGTCAACGATCGTGCATGCAGTTCGGGGGGCTGCCACCTTGATCATCGCAATCTGTGGAAGCAAGATATGAAGCAGCACACACTTCATCAATGACACACACAGCAGGGCCAGGACAGGCAGGAGAGTCTGGTCTCCAGGAGGTAGAACCAGGGCACTTACACACACACAGAGAGACACAGCAGGGCATGTGCACACACACACACACACACACACACACACACACACACACACACAGAACAGGGCATGGACACACAGACACACAGGCACAGCAGGGCATGTACACACACACATAGAAGGGCCAGGACGGATAGGAGAGTGGTCTCCAGAAGGAAGAACCAGGGCACGTGTACACACACACACACACACACACACACACACACACACACACAGCAGGGCACAGACACAGGGCAGGGCACAGACACA